GAAAACAAATCTAGTGATCCATTTTTTAAACTTGATGTAAATAGTTTTCTCTCTGGTTGTTTGTGACTTAAGAACAGGTGAAAGAAAAGAGTTCTCCAGGTTCCCCCAATTGACTTCCACCTGTTTTCAAAGACATGTATCTGTGATAATAGTTATACATTAAGGTTTTAAAATGCTGCTGTCCAAATTTGGAGTCAAAATACTGCAGGTAAGTGCACCAACATGTCTTAAAGTTGCACATGAAATCTAAAATAGCCGACTTCCTGTTTGGTTTACGATATGCCTCTAAGAGACTTTTTTGTTCGTCTCACCATGTTCTATATATCTACCAAATGTCAGACTTATAGGTGAAAGTACAACGAGGGGCTGCTAGCTAACAAGTGTCTAGGGGGCGCCAAAGAGCTATAGAGAGAGTTTAGCTTGCAGCAATAATAGGCGCTTTCACACCGGAGTACTTTTCCCAGGAATAGTTCCGATAGTTCCTGGGATTTTGCGTTCACACCAAAAAGATCTGCAACTAGAACCTTTTCACCCCCAGATAGTCCCTGCTAGAGAGGTGGGACTAACTGGGGAGAAAAAGGTTCCAATTTCTGATTGGCTGGGCAAATTGCAAACCACGCCACGTAAAAATCTGTATTTTTTTTTTAAGCCGTCATTTTATTTGCTTACATTAGCATTATTAGCATTATTAGCAATAGCCCAGCGCACCAACAGAGAGAGACTAACTTATGGCAACACAAAAGAAAACATGGGAGCGGTGGAGATGAGGAGGTGTCGGCGTTTTGGCGATTTACTCGGAAGCCCAACTCCGGGGACTTCCGGCCGGGGACTCCGGGTGGCAGTATACGCCGTGAAGTTGTTTGCGGCCTGCCAGCAACCCAAAGCAGAAGAAGAAGAAGTGAACGTCAGCGGCTTCATTTGCCTAATCCTCCCTCAGGGAACTTATTCCGGTGTGAACGCGATCTACTAGAAAGTTACGGAACTAAAGATTTCCGGGGAACTAAGGTCCGGGAACTATTCCTGGGAAAAGTACTTGGTGTGAAAGCGCCTATTGAGACCCCTATAATATAAAACGTTTAATCTGTGAAACATCTCCAGCTTTTAGTCATACTAAGGACCCCATAAATAATGAAACACAACCAATTACAACAGGTTCCTCGGACCCTAAAAGAGTCAAAAGAGAGGTAAAAGAGAAAATACAAATCTAGTGATTCATTTCTAAACTGGGTGTAATGTTTTTATTTCTCCTGGATTAGTGATTAAAGAACAGGAGGAAGAAAAAGTAGTTGCCAGTTTATGTTTTGATTCTTAAACCAAATGTGTGGAGTCGCTCGGATGAAACTTCTCTCTCCTCTGAGGATCAAGCTGCTCTGTTCCTGCATTTCAGATCCATTTCACTTTATATTGACTTTCTTTATTACTTTATTAAATAAAACAAAAGACAAACTTTGTCCATGAATCATTTATCAGTTTCTTTTAACCTCTTAAGCCCTGAGCCTGTTTTTCAGGTCTCAGGCTCGAAAATGCCATTCCCAGAACAAATGACCATATCTTCCCTTCTAAAAGGGTTACATTAATTATCTTTTTTCTCAAAGTAATGATAAACCTGTGAGTTGGATGTAGAAAAGTCAGAATCAATATAGATGTTTTTTATTTTAAAGAAAATTCAGATTTTACATCGTAAAAAACTGTAAATTATAGTGTCCGTCCAAATATTCTTTTTTACTTATAGTGAAAACTACCCTTGGATGATGGGTTAGTAGACTAAAAGCTTTAGGAATCCAAAGTACAACATATAATAAGTACCCTGTATCAAGATTAATGCAAAACAAGTGACATTTGACCTTTTTAGAGAGATTTAGCAAAAAGAAACCACTTCTGGGGTCATTTGGGTGGATTTTCCATATCTCTGGCTTCCCTTGCTCGATTTTGATGGTTGACACCTCTTTCTGACCGTTAGAGCCAATAGAATCGAAGGGGGTGTCCCCCACACACACTCATTGTGAAGAGAAGAGGTGGAGGCTTCGCGCAGGTAATTTTGCATCAGAGTGAACCTATCTCTAGCTTTGACATCTGGAAACGGAAAAGCAGTTTTATTGCTTATGGATGATCAGAAATCATTTCAAAGGGACACAGACACATTAGATTAACCTATGGATTAACTTCAGCAGCGTTTTTATCGTTTTAATGCCATTGAAGACCACTTTGGAGACTACAGAGCCAAGGTAAAAATGTTAGCATTTTTAGCTACCTAGCGTCACCTGTTTTGATGTCCGTTTTTGCTTTATAACGTCGCAAATACGTATAATCAGTGATAATGTCGGTTGTCAATCGATTCTGTGTCACCTCACGATGTGAATCGATGTGTTGGATGTGGTGAAAAGATAAATAATAAGGTTTTGTGAGTGATTTTCGGTGCAGTAAGGTGTTAGCATTTTTCGCTCGTTGCTAATTCAGAGGCTCAGTGTTAGCATTGTGGGTTTTCTTTTGAAACAAAATAAAAATGATCAGTTAGATGAGTTTCTTCCCGTACATGGATATAAAACATGCATAGTTTTATTAAATGAAACATGCCCTCAGACACTGTTTCCTGCAAGATGTTGCGGCAGTTGCCCCGGTACCGGGGTCTCTCGGGCTTAACAGGTTAAGAGTTTCCTCCACATTAAGCATGCTAAGGCCTCCAGAAATAATGAAACACGACCATTTACAACAGATCTTCGCTCCGACTGTCGGTGCTCGAACTCTAAAAGAGTGAAAACCAGGTGTGTACCCTGACAGAAGCCATGTGGGACGGTGAAAGCGGACCTAACAGGTAGACAGTGTGTTCTGTTACCCTGACAGAAGCCATGTGGGACAGGGTGAAGCGGACCCTAACAGGTAGACAGGTGTGGTAACCCTGACAGAAGCCATGTGGGACAGGTGAAGCGGACTCTAACAGGTAGACAGGTGTGTTCTGTTACCCCTGACAGAAGTCTGTGGGACAGGTGAAGCTGACCCTAACAGGTAGACAAGGTGTGTGTCTGTTACCCTGACAGAAGCCATGTGGGACAGGTGAAGCGGACCCCTAACAGGTAGACGGTGTGTTCTGTTACCCTGACAGAAGTCTGTGGGACATGTGAAGCGGACCCTAACAGGTAGACAGGTGTGTTCTGTACCCTGACAGAATGTCTGTGGGACAGGTGAAGCGGACCCTAACAGGTAGACAGGTGTGTTCTGTTACCCTGACAGAAGCCATGTGGGACAGGTGAAGCTGACCCTAACAGGTAGACAGGTGTGTTCTGTTACCTGACAGAAGTCTGTGGGGACAGGTGAAGCTGACCCTAACAGGTAGACAGTGTGTACCCTGGACAGAAGCCATGTGGGACAGGTGAAGCGGACCCTAACAGGTAGACAGGTGTGTTCTGTACCCTGACAGAAGTCTGTGGGACAGGTGAAGCGGACCCTCAACAAGTTAGACAGGTGTGTTCTGTTACCCTGACAGAAGTCTGTGGGACAGGTGAAGCGGACCCTGTAGCTCCTCACACCTGCTGCTCTGATCTTTGTTCACACAGGAGAACCCCGGAGGAGGCGTCATATCTGGCCAGAGAGAGAGAGATGAGGAAGAGAGAGAGAGAGAGAGAGAGAGAGAGAGAGGAGAGAGAGAGATAGAGGAGGTAGAGAGAGAGAGAGAGAGAGAGAGAGAGAGGAGAAATCATGAGTGAGAGAGAAACTCCCTCTGGAGGAACACAGGGATTTTAGCCTCTGCAGACCATTTACATGCAGTAACTTCTATAGAACTACAGGAGAGAGAGCACCACAGAAGAAGAAACAGGGACTCTGTAGGACTAGCTGGACATCGTGCAGAATTCTTGAAAAAGTCTGAAAATGTTCCGTAAAAATCATATTTTTAGATTTTCAGAAACATTTCAGAATTTTCATCAAGTCAGAATTTTGGGATTTCCATAAAAAAAGCCAGAATTCTTTTATTTTGAGAAAAAAAGGCAACATTTTGACATTTTCTGAAAACAGTCTATATCTTGAGATTTCTCAAAAATATAACATTTTGAGAAATTTGGAAAAAGTCAGAATTTTGAGGAAAAAGTTTGAATTGTGATTTTCAGATAAAAGTCAGAATTCTGAGATTTTCAGGAAATTATCAGAATTTTAGGGATTTACTGAAAAAAATACAGAATTTCTGAGAGTTTCAGAAAAAAAGTAAAAAAATATGGGGATTTTCAGAAATAGTCACAATTTTGAGGAAAAAGTTAGAATTAAAAAAAATTCTGAAAATTGTCACAATTTGGAGATTTTCAGAAAAAGTGCAGAGGTCAGTGTTCCTCGTGTTATATAATCAGATATTGATCCTCACGTCAGGAAGTTATTGGTCGTGTCCACCGGCTCTCCGGAGACGGTCTGAGCCTCGATGGCCGTCGGCTGGGAGCAGATCTCTCGAGGGAAAACGTTCACGATGTCGTTGAGCATCTCGAAATTTCCGTTTCCTGTCGGGTCGTCGTGGTCAAACCATCGCGTCCTGCACTCTGAGAGCAAAGAGATATAATCATTAGTGTGTCTCCTTTAGTTTAGATACAGGTCATATATTAGTGTGTCCTCTTTAGTTTAGATCAGTGGTTCTCAAACTTTTTCTGTCAGGCCCCCCCTTTGGAGAAAAAAAAAAGTCTGGCCCCCCCAACACAAATAGTCAGGCTCAGTGGCGGCGCCAGAGATTTATTTTGGGGGTGCTGTGGGGTAGCTTGACGTTTCATAGAGGGTGCTCAAACATTTAGGGTTTCCCATTAATGTACCGGGCGCTACAGTTGAACTTTCTACTGCAACAATCCCCACGCACACACACAGTGTACCTGCAACTGTTACAATGAAGGCTCGATAATCAGCTCACGGCATATACGTGTAAGCAGGGGTAAAGTGCTATTTTTACAAGTGGGGAGTGGACCTCACATATGGGGGTCCGAGGGCAAGCTCCCCCGGGAAGATTTTTTTTTAAATATTGAAGTTAAAGGTAGGGTAGGTAAGTTTGAGAAACCGGCTCGAGATACACTTTTTGTTATATTCCATGGAATGCTCTTAACATCCCGATAGCAATGAATATCTGAAGTGCTTTGACAAAAAATCCATAAAAAAATATCATCTGTGGAAGCTGTAGTACTGTAAAAAGCACGACCAATCATTTTAGCCGGCCCTCAATCTGGTGCACTTTGAGAGCAACATGAGAGATCTATGGATACCTCTCTCAACACCCATATGAAACAGAACTGAAAACAGATTTACTTTTTCTTTATGGATATTTTACAAATCACCCTTTAAACTTTATTCTTGTTTTACTGTCATATAGTATTTCATACCTGTTTTTCATTTATTCTCTTATTTTTTTATAACTATAATGATCATATAAACGTGTGCCTCGGAAATAATTGTTTACATTAATGGTGACCAAAACGTTTGAGACCCACTGAGATAACACTGAGAGAGTCCTTTAGCTCACTGAGTCTGACCCACTGAGATAACACTGAGAGAGTCCTTTAGTTCACTGAGTCTGACCCACTGAGATAACACTGAGAGAGTCCTTTAGTTCACTGAGTCTGACCCACTGAGATAACACTGAGAGAGTCCTTTAGTTCACTGAGTCTGACCCACTGATGCCCCTTTCACACCAACGCAACTCCGGTTTCAAGCTCGTGCTAGAGCTTTTCAGGTTCAAGAACCGGTACTTCGGTTTTAGCTCCGGCTCTTTTCACACCGCTCAGAGCCCGACTGGTGCTGCCGCTGCTGCGTCATGACGTCCCACAGTTTACGTCGCTGAGTTTCTCCCCAACGGAGCTCACCTCACAACAACAACGGGGGACTGCGTCGGGTCGATGATCGTGTTGCTTTTAATCATACGAAGCCAGATTAAATTAAATAACGACTTCTCCAACCTTATACTTTTCTCCAGAGTGCCGTGGTTCATTGTTTATTAATGTGTTTCATTTAGCGACCGCTGCAGTGCTGGCCGGCTGCTCTTCAACGGGAGTGTATTCTCCCGTTAGCTCCGGGTTAGCTCACACGGCTCTAAAGTATTCACTGTCTGACTGTCACACAAGCAGCTGATACATATCCCCAGTTCCCCTTAAGTGAATGTGTGTCAGTCTGAATTCACGCTGTTTGGCATCACAACGCTGTTATGAAAGTTTCTCTGGTATAACATGGGTGATGTTAGCATAGCAACCGAAGCTAAACTGACTACTTGCTAAGCCGTTTTCTACAGGCACATTTTACCGACGTATTTTTCATTATGATTCTACTTGTGATAGTCGGACATGACAACCTGTGCAGCCCATGTATTGATTCCATCCGATAGCTGCTATAATAACAAACGTCTGCCTGCTCTCCACAATGATCAATAACAGCGAACGGATGGTCAAAGTAAGGTACAAATAAACAGAATCACACGAAGCCTGATTAGTGTTGCCTGACTTTATAAAGCGTGTTTTTTTTAACAAGTGTGTGGTTGCGTTCTAGTCACTTTGCTCAGCGCTACTGCTTGTTACAACTTTTATTTGCCGTACTCGCCTTAAGTGTTAGCTCAGGTTAATCTCGCCCCCCTCCGACGTAAGCGTGACGTATGCGGTTCTTGCTTCTAGACGGACAACTTTTTGGTGCTCGAAACGAACCGGATTCCGGAGCTTAGAGGCTGCTCCGCTGCGGTGTGAACAGGAAAACCCGGTGCTTTTCAAGCACCAGCACCGAACCGGCCCTGAAACACCGTTGGTGTGAAAGGGGTATGAGATAACACTGAGAGAGTCCTTTAGTTCACTGAGTCTGACTCACTGAGATAACACTGAGAGAGTCCTTTAGTTCACTGAGTCTGACCCACTGAGATAACACTGAGAGAGTCCTTTAGCTCACTGAGTCTGACTCACTGAGATAACACTGAGAGAGTCCTTTAGTTCACTGAGTCTGACCCACTGAGATAACACTGAGAGAGTCCTTTAGTTCACTGAGTTCTGACTCACTGAGATAACACTGAGAGAGTCCTTTAGTTCACTGAGTCTGACTCACTGAGATAACACAGAGAGAGTCCTTTAGTTCACTGAGTCTGACCCACTGAGATAACACAGAGAGAGTCCTTTAGTTCACTGAGTCTGACTCACTGAGATAACACTGAGAGAGTCCTTTAGTTCACTGAGTCTGACCCACTGAGATAACACAGAGAGAGTCCTTTAGTTCACTGAGTCTGACCCACTGAGATAACACTGAGAGTCCTTTAGTTCACTGAGTCTGACCCACTGAGATAACACTGAGAGAGTCCTTTTAGCTCACTGAGTTTGACCCACTGAGATAACACTGAGAGTCCTTTAGTTCACTGAGTCTGACCCACTGAGATAACACTGAGAGTCCTTTAGTTCACTGAGTCTGACCCACTGAGATAACACTGAGAGAGTCCTTTAGTTCACTGAGTCTGACCCACTGAGATAACACTGAGAGAGTCCTTTAGCTCAGGGGTTCCCAACCTTTATTGTGCCAAGGACCGGTTGATACATTAAAAAAAAATCGCGGACCGGTTGTCAATTTTAACTGATTTTAATATTTACTCACCACCAGCAGGTAGCAACAGAGGCCTAATTGTATGTAACAGCCTGAAACAAATACTAGAACAATATGCATCCAAACATATTAACAAGTTTAAAAAGAACCGGTGTTGTTTTTTGGTTTTTCGGAAAATCAAAAAACCGACGTTATTCAGTTTTTAAAACCAAAACGGGAATGTGTGTGTGTTGTGTGTGTGTGTGTGTGTGTGTGTGTGTGTGTGTGTGTGTGTGTGTGTGTGTGTGTGTGTGTGTGTGTGTGTGTGTGTGTGTGTGTGTGTGTGTGTGTGTGTACTAATTTATTTTGGGAACAGCCGCATATATGCCGGTGTCGGACAGACACAAACACACCGAACACACTGAGCTGAGCAGAGCACATACACACACACATCATGCGCCTTGGTGACTGACAGGACATCTCCTTCATAAAACTAATAAAAGGGGGAGTAATCGGGCAGTTCGATGTGTGTAGATGTGTGTGTGTGGTTAACACGTTGCAGCCTGCAGTCACTCTTAAGCTGTTCTGATGAAGTTAAACACAGCGAAGGCGGTGCGTAAAAAGGCACAGCTCTTTACCGAGTATACGTCCCGCTGCCTCCTGATGCTGCAGCCATGTCATGAAAGAGGGTTTCCTTCTATAAAGCAGCTGCGGGCAGCAGATACCGTGAGAGTCCCGGACATTAATTCATAGATCAAGGCAGACTGGTTTACTCTCCTGTTTTGCCAATCCGGTGCTTAAACAAATAGCTCTACACCCCTGGCCGACATGTCCTTAAAATGAAGTCCGAGTTTGAAATATATCTCAAATAATGTATGCACCACCATTTCCCCACATAAACATAACAGTCTGCAATCAAACGGTTGTCTCCTGTGCGCTCCTCTTCCTACTTGGCGCACCGGTAACATGCTCGTGCGCACAAGAGGCTGAGACATAGGCTGAGCCGCCGAATCCCTCGGAACATCATAAAAGCCATTTTCAACGGTTTTCTGGTGAAAGATTAACTAGCTACTGGATGAAATAATATGACTGGTGGCATAGGTGCGAAAATTAAACACTTTTTGAAAAGAATATGATAAAATATTTTTTATATATTTATAATTCTGCAAATATTACGATAAACTCACAGCTATTTCGCGGCCCGGCAGTAACACCTCCGCGGCCCGGTACCGGTCCGCGGACCGGGGGTTGGGAACCCCTGCTTTAGCTCACTGAGTCTGACTCAGTGAGATAACACAGAGAGAGTCCTTTAGTTCACTGAGTCTGACTCACTGAGATAACACTCAGAGAGTCCTTTAGTTCACTGAGTCTGACCCACTGAGATAACACTGAGAGTCCTTTAGTTCACTGAGTCTGACCCACTGAGATAACACTGAGAGAGTCCTTTAGTTCACTGAGTCTGACTCACTGAGATAACACTGAGAGAGTCCTTTAGTTCACTGAGTCTGACTCACTGAGATAACACTGAGAGTCCTTTAGTTCACTGAGTCTGACTCACTGAGATAACACTGAGAGAGTCCTTTAGTTCACTGAGTCTGACTCACTGAGATAACACTGAGAGAGTCCTTTAGTTCACTGAGTCTGACTCACTGAGATAACACTGAGAGAGTCCTTTAGTTCACTGAGTCTGACTCACTGAGATAACACTGAGAGAGTCCTTTAGCTCACTGAGTCTGACCCACTGAGATAACACTGAGAGAGTCCTTTAGCTCACTGAGTCTGACCCACTGAGATAACACTGAGAGTCCTTTAGTTCACTGAGTCTGACCCACTGAGATAACACTGAGAGAGTCCTTTAGTTCACTGAGTCTGACTCACTGAGATAACACTGAGAGAGTCCTTTAGTTCACTGAGTCTGACTCACTGAGATAACACTGAGAGAGTCCTTTAGTTCACTGAGTCTGACTCACTGAGATAACACTGAGAGAGTCCTTAGTTCACTGAGTCTGACTCACTGAGATAACACTGAGAGAGTCCTTTAGCTCACTGAGTCTGACCCACTGAGATAACACTGAGAGAGTCCTTTAGCTCACTGAGTCTGACTCACTGAGATAACACTGAGAGTCCTTTAGTTCACTGAGTCTGACTCACTGAGATAACACTGAGAGAGTCCTTTAGTTCACTGAGTCTGACTCACTGAGATAACACTGAGAGAGTCCTTATCACTGAGTCTGACACACTGAGATAACACAGAGAGAGTCCTTTAGTTCACTGAGTCTGACTCACTGAGATAACACTGAGAGAGTCCTTTAGTTCACTGAGTCTGACCCAGAGAAACACTGAGAGAGTCCTTTAGCTCACTGAGTCTGACCCACTGAGATAACACTGAGAGTCCTTTAGTCATGAGTATGACTCATGAGATAACACTGAGAGTCTTTAGTTCACTGAGTCTGAACTGGATAAACTGAGAAGTCCTTTAGCTCACTGAGTCTGGACCCAC